GCCCCCGCGCAGCAGCGCCGCCCGAGCAGCGCAGCCTCGCCCAGCGAGAAACCCCGCCGGCATCTCATAAACACGGACGGGGGCCGCCGGCAGGAGCTGCTCTTTCATCTCATTTACGCTGCTGCTTTAATTCAACACAAAAAAAGTCAAATTTAACAGCAGATAAAACAATCAGATTCAGGTTACACACAGGCGCCGGCCTCTGTCTTGGCTGTCTCATTTGGTATTTCTCTTGCCTCAAACGCTGCCATTCTGCACTTGGGAGCAACGTTTGCTATTCCATACCAGTTGTTACCCACACATGGGTATATAGGTATATAGGTAATAACCTACTTCTTTAGTTATGCACACGATGGACATGTAAAATCATCCGATTATTTGTAGAAGACCATGGTGCAGGACTGTTTAGAAACATTACAATCTATGAAGGGCAAACTTTTATTTTACTGCAATATTTACACAGAACAGTACTTCCAATTCCCCTCCTTTGAGATGGGCAGTAGATCTGCTGTACAAGATAGGAAATGAAGTTACTATGATGCAGTCTGGGGAAATAATGGATTGTGCTGGACAGACAGACTCTGGAGAGCCTTCCATCCCTTATGCACTCATTACCAGAAGGCAAGCAGACACGGTCTCCAATTCATAGATTCCAGGAAACAAGTAGTCACAACATTGTTTTATGCATTGCAAAGCATCAGATATAACCAGGGAAGCGCTGTCAGAAGAAACCAGAAATCTGAAGAGCAGCAAAGATAAGAAGATGGTACTCTAAGTGGTATTTAGAACTTCAGAGTTCTTTTCCTTTCATCAGATATTTGCAATGATTCCTGCAACTACATGTTCTTTATAGTAATTCTGATTGGTCTGTTGGTAGACAGCAACTTCTAAAGAACACGTCTGTTTCTCAACTCTACCAATACCCAAAGTCAGCTATAAATTCAGCATAATCCTTTGGATTGCTCTCCTTCAGGATAAACTCTTCTTCTCCCAAGCAGACTCTAGTTTCAGTTGTGCTCTCAACATCCTCCCTTATTTTGCTGCTCTTAAGGTGTAAATTCAAAAGGTACATACTGAGCTCAGACTTTATCTACTGTATCACTGCTTAACCAAATCAGCTCAACTGCTACAATTCTCTTTCCTCATATCAGCGAAGTGGATATATCCAGACCACATACTTCTCCCAGACCATTCAATAAGTCACAGAAGTAGAATGTTTATACCAACATATTTCATTGCCATTCAAACCAGCAGAGTTGCAGGCAAAAGTACTTACTTTCATTTTAAAAAGTTAGTTCGCAAAAATACTGAGCCACACTGAAAAAACCTCTTTTGATTATACAAGTCAAAGCCACAGTCCAAAATCTAAACCTATTCCTGATAAACTGAGACAAGATGGATCTCAGTCTCCAGGCTCATGTAATCATCAGCTTAACCTAGTGACCAGACTTCTTACTTCAACAACAAACTGTCATTACATGCTGACTTGGCATTACTTACAAAGAAAGGAGGGGGAGGGAATATTAATATTATATCCTCCATGTATATATAGAATCATCACAACATCCTCTGCATTTGTTTCCTTCTGGTTTTGTAAGAGTTGCAAAAGAAACCTACCTTTCACTTACCTCTATATGCTGTAATTGTCACCAAATAGTATATGAAATGGCAGAACAAGAAATTACAGCTTAATAAGAAAACTTTAACAGATTGCTCAGCAAGAAAGGATGGGAGCAGCAACTTCCTAAAACCATCCATTTAGTCCATATTCCCTTTAAGAACAGCTGTCAGTATAAATGCTGTATCAGCACCTTTTTCTCTTAAAGGAAAAATATAAAACACATTTATGTTTCCCAGAGACATGTCATGGTATTTTAACAGTAAGTTGCTAATAACAATCTCAGCACTCTCTGGGTTGTTTAAGCCATCCACAGTGATTATGAGTGATTGTGCTTTAGAAGCCACTGAACTGAAGACAAAGCTCAGGATGTATCATCACTTGCAGCAATGTTAGCAGCTTCTGTTCAAAAGAAAGCAACACCTCTTTTGCTGCGTATATACAATGTCTGTGACTTTTGCACAGTGGGAAAAATCTGTTCCCTGTATAAATCCAGGGCATGTCATTGCAAACAAGGTTTTTAATTAAAATTGGCATTTTTGAGCCTCCTGCTGACGGACAGCATCTCATTGCCTCCTCCTCAGATGGCTAAACTGGCTTCCAAGAGAGACAGTGAAAAGAAAAAAATCACTAGAATACCTAACTTTGACAAGTCTCTGCTGGGGACAATTTCAATAGCAGGATGCTGCAGAGAGAGGTAAAGAGAGAAAAGAGGACTGCCTAGGAAGTCTCCCCTAATGAAGACTCAAAACATCACAAACAAGACAGTAGAGGAAGCATTTTATTCCTAAGCCTGAAGACAGGATGATCAAGCAGGATAATTTTAATCAGAAGCCATATTGTTAAAGAGAATGCAGAGCTATGTCTGCACCTCAGTGGGTAAAGCCTTCTTTCGAATGCAAAAGAAGGCTTAGGGGCTGGCTAGACCTCTGGCTGGGAGGCTGGCTAAACTGTCAGCTCTCACAAAGCTTTATCCCTCTCAGAAAACAGGCAGATACAAGTTCAAGTCAGACAGAGAAATCAGGCTTCTTGGCCAGAACATTTTTCTCAATTGATTGCAAAGAGTTTACATTGACTGCCAGCACTGTACCTTCAGGAGGCTCTTCCCGCAGATGAGGAGGCAATTCTTCACCTGTAGTCTCAGTTTCATCATCCACCATCTGTGTTTCTAAGCTAGGGCCCTGCAGAACAGAACAGCAAGAGGGGGTAAATTGCAGAAAGATCAGACAGGAACCACAAATATGGTTACAGGACTAGAGAATATGCCAGACAGCAAGGACACAAGGAGCTCACTTCAACTGATGAGAAAGAAAACTGCTGGGAAATTTGTTTGCAGTCAAATTCCAGAAAAGGAAAAGTGGGAGGGGGGGAAAAAAAAAGGAGGACTTTTCAAGATAGCGTGCAAAGTTACAGTGGTCTTAAGTGACTGAAAATGAGAAAATTAACAGTGAAGCACAATACCTAAACTACTATTTCCAAACACATAATGCACTAATAAATCAAAATTTCCATTTATCAAGGACAGCAGCAGATCCACCATCAACTAGAATTTTCAGGAAAAAAACCCTTATCTTTGTCTTATCAAGACTAGATTCTGAAATGCCACTTTTTTCAAAGGAAAACAAAGCAAACTGGTTTACAATCTTCCAACTTATGCAGGTTCACTGACCATGGAGTTTTCCCCTACAAGCCCAACACATCCATTTGTGCTTCCAAGTGTAATATGCCAAGCTAACCATTCCTGAAAAAGTACTGGACTACCCTCCCAGGTTTTGCATTTCCATGTTCCAGCCTTCTTGATCCTGTAAAGAGCCTACAGTGTTACTACTGGAAGAACATGAGCAGAGTCAAAAGATTTGCATCTAAACTCACTTCACACACACAGTATTTTCATGTGGAGCTATAAAAGTGTAGTTGCTCAAACTATCACAAGAAAAAAAAATACCATCTTCTTCTCTCCAACTTACCTTTTTTTTGTAAGTAACAGCAGAGTAAGCACTAGGCATAGCTAGACGACCCCTTTAAAACAAAATGTAACTTCCTTTGCAATGTTAGTACAGTGAAGAGTGAAATGACAAACTTAGCACTCATTAGGAAATGAAGCTTTTGTGCACTTTGAAAACATGACTGGGTTTGTAGTCTGAACTATCTGAAAATGTGTACTAACATACGCAGCTGGAATGTTACAGAAATACAGCTGGTACATCAACAGCTTGCAAAATGTTATTATTTGAACTCAGGAAGAAAAGAAGCTCATAGTCCTAAACAAAAAGTACCATCATGCTTTTCAGATGTTTTACAGCAGGGAAAACAGAGACCACCCAGGTGAAGCATACAGGTCTACTGTGATGGTGCTAGAGTCACAACCTGGATTTCTGCCACCTGTGACTATGCAAGTTTTACCTAGGCTATTTACCTATTTCTCCTCACTTAAGAATGCCCAGTATCAACACTGCCCAGCTTTGGTCAGTGAACAGTTCAAGCAAGTCATGCCTCGTAGTAACTATCACGGAAAGGGAAAAAAAGTGTTTAGTACATGGCACAGATGGGAAAGCAGTAAGTTGCCTTAGTCCAATTAAAAAAATAATTAAACCCATGAGTCAGTAATCAACATGAAGATCTAACCATCTCCTCACTTCAACTCAATAATGTGATCCAGATTTTAAGAACATATAAACAATTCTGAATAAGAGCAACAAATTGAATATAAAATATGTGTTTGAATAAGTTTCTACATCAACCACAGGCAATATATGAATTTACACTTCTTTCCTACCCATCAGTACCACAGACAGAAAAGAAAAAGGGAAAATGAGGCTACAGGAGTATACCAGATCAGATTATTTATTTTTCATACAAAACATGTAGACATATAAGTCATGAGGCACCATTATATGCCTTGGAAACATTGTGAACCGTAGTTACGGAACTCCTAAACTAGAAGGGGTCTTGAATGTGAATCCTGTGCCTGTACTTTCTGGTTTAAAACAACAAAATTATTTTAATTTTTTTAAAACAATTAAGAGTCATCTGTACATACTAGCTATATCCTACCCAAGGAGACAATCCAACTTCCAGAGACTATGGAAAAGCCAGTAAGGAAAGTATTATCTTCTTTTCTTCAAAACAGTCAGTATTCTCAATTTCCTACGAGACAAACCTGCTCAGTAGCTTCTCCCAATGACAGCCCATGCTAAGTGGAGCTCCCCTGGTTTACAGTTGTTGTTTGCTACATAAATAAATTTTGCATCCATAAAGAGGATGCAAAATGTTATCAGAAGTGAGTGGTGGCATTATGGTTTTTTCCTCCTCCTGCATGAACTACTTAATGCTTGTTGTTCACTAGCAATACAACACTCCAGTATGGTGGTTATCACTGACAACACTTACTCCAAAACAAAGATTTATCCTAGCTGAAGGTCAGCCTTGTACCTAAGCTAGTATTAACAATCCCAGCTATGAGAAAAACAGAGCCCATTACAAACCACTGTGAAGTCTGTGGCTGAGACGTTGTTTGCCTGACACTATCACTTATTTCCCTCCAATACACAGCTTTTAACACTTGCTACTGGAATACTACAGAAGGAAAATGCTCAGTCCAAAACTACTACTTTGACAGAACATGCTGAATTATCTAACAGAAATTACCAAAATTTTTGAGGATTTTTCACTACTCAAAAACGTTTAATCATAATACGGCATATTTTAACTGTATTTGGTATACATTTCTTGTATGGTTTCTAGAATTCTTCCCAAAATAATTATTTACTTTTTTTTTTTTTTTCTCAATTTAATGTTAAAAAGGAAGACAGTCTAAACTGAAGCATGAACATGTCAAGTCCAACCAATTTTAAGTTTTTCAAGAATTGTTTTGCAAGAAACTGAAATCTTGAGATTTCCTAGTTCCTAAAATGAAGTTAGAATTGTTTTCTACAGAATATTTCTACAGAATAACAGATAATACATGTGAGTTCTTAACTCACATATATTATCACAATATATATTCACCTGGGATATAGGGAGCTTCTAAAAGTAGTCTTGTAAACATCAGTTTATCAGATTTCAGCATGTCTGTCTAATCACTGTAGCCAGTAAGTGCACATACTGGTACTGAGATTCACTAATGAAAATGTAAAACAGTTAAAAATTCTAGGTTCTCATATACATATCTAGCAGTAATATTTAAGGCTCAAACACTGACAGGTGTCATTAACAAGAGTACAAATAGCGTTTTTTCCTTGTGTTAGCATGTCCATTGCTTTTTTAGTTATATCTGCTGAGCTCAACTCACTGGGCCTGCTGCAAGCTTGGTAACCGCCATCTACCATACCTACAGTTCTGACAGCACAGTTATCTACAGCAATCAAAAACAATATCCAGGAAATTATCTTCTGAGAATGTTTATAACTGTGCTAAGGTTGAATCCAACAACTTTGTCTCAACCGTTCTTTTTACACTATCATTTCAAGAATGAGGCATCAGTTACATCTCCTTTATTCATTTTTAAGGATCCATGACAGACAAGTAGGGGAATGGGATGCACACAACTGTGTAAGTTATTGGCTTGCAGGTTCTATAATAATACTCTGGAGCTGCAGCGGGGGCAGAAGGAATATACACAGATTGCTTCTGCTTTGACACTCCCTCAGGAACATTTAGGATGCAGGAAGATATATCAAGAGCTCAGAAACATCAGCAGATATTATAGTACAATATTCTTTCAATTATTTAGGGTTTGTACAGCCTCTTAAATTGGGAATGAGGTTCCATTCCTCACTAGAACCACTGGAAAAGCATAAACTTAAATAGGTGTTATTACAGAAAGTTAGGTTATGGCACAGAGCCTAAGAACATATAACTAAGAAAAACCTCTTGGCTCTTCAAAGACAGTCCCTGCCCTCAACAAGCAAGTACTTCATACAATTCCTTGATGACTACTTGACTGTGAGCACTATTAAGATTTAGTGGTAATTTTTCTATGTCATTTTAACACAATCTCCAGGCTGAACAAGAACAAGTAAACTCAAGCAGAGGCAACACCCACCCTTTCAAAATGAAGTTATAGATGTGAGATTTCAAGGAAGCTCACTCCCTGCCAACAGTTTCAATGAACTCTTAAGGAAGCTGAAAAGCTTTGTATCAACTCAGCAAACGATAAAGATCAAGAGAAAAATCACATAGGAGTTCTCACAGAAACTACCTCCTTACAATGCAGTTTAACCCAAATGCTATGGACTGCTGTGACCTGGCAAATTAGTGTTTGTGGATTTATAATGTGTTTCATAGATGGCTATGCATTTATGGATAGTGAGGACTGCCAGTACTGAACTAAATAAGTGTGACAAATTGCATACAAGCATTCAGACTGTACCTCATGCTCTTCCACAGGATACAATATTTTGAGAATAATTCTGACCAGAACTTTAACTATATGCTCAAATTTTCAGTATATTTGAGGACTGTATATTTGACAAGTGCTGCAGTAAATGCATGCATGACAGAAAGAAAGTTTCTATCCAGTCAGGGTCTGCATTTTCCACAATGTACAGAGTTATGTTTATGACACTGAAACCAAGAGTTTACTACACTTACATTACTACATTTGTATTAACAAAAGATATCAACATGGTCAATCACAAAAAGAGCCATACTATCTCATTCTCAGCAGAGTAATAAGTACTCAAAATACCCACAAAGTATGGGAGCAATCCCAACACCAAGTGATCAGTGTCAGCTCATTTTGCTGCTATGTCAATACTAACATGAGACTGTCACTGCAAATGCCCCAATATGGCTCATCTTTCTAAAGAGTCCCTAGAAGCAACCAAAAAATCCTACCTGCACCACCACCACTCTTAGGCCTTTTAGACTCTACTTTCATACTTAGCATTACATTAACTGTGGTATATAATCTTAAACTGAAGTCTGTCAATTGACTGTTCACTAACTCAGGAATTAATTTTGCTAATGAGCAGCAAAATACAAAACTCCAAAACAAATTCCAAGAAGGGTGACAATGAGGGAGGGCAATCAAAAAAAAAAATCTTTTTTTAGAAAATAATACATGCTGTGAAAAATTATTAATGAAATTGAACAAGTTTGGGACAAATAACTTCAAATTTCCTTCAGAGAGCCACATATCTTACAATTCTGATCCTTCTCACCATTCCTACTCAACTCA